ATATATATATATATACATATAGAAGTGTGTATGTATGTGTATAATATATGTATATATATATACACATATATATATATGTATGTATGTATGTATGTATGTATGTATGTATGTATATATATATACACATATACATACACAGACACACACAAACATACCTCCCTCCCTCCCTGGCTCCCTCCCTCCCCCCCTCGCCTTCCCTCCCTCCCAGGCGAGAGCCGCGAGAGCTTCACGCCAGAGCTTGTGATAGAAGCGCAGGCTGAGGCCGCTGTGAAGGCCGGATTTGAACGACTCTTGTCGCCCCACAGCGGCAGGTTCTGACCGTTGCCAAGCAGATCGGCGATGTGGTCATGGGCATGGAGGAGTGGCGTCAGAAGATTTCCCAGCATGACAACAGTAACGGTAGCATGTGTCGGACTGTTTGGCTCTCTCTCACACAGGCCTGGCTCTCTCAATGGCCACTACTCCAGGTGCGCCGGCTTGTAATTGTGTCAGAGGATTCCTGAGCGGAGAGGTGCTGGCAAAGATTCAGCAAAGCATGGACGGCGGCTGAGGGCAGTGGAAGCTTGAAGTCTGTCAGTGCCTGCTTGGACAAGTGCATGAGGATCTGCTGGGCGATCCCATAGCAGGTTCACCAGGCAAGCTGAGCTTTCCGTCGGAGAGCAATGTCGATGTCGACTTGATCTAGGAAGTTGTCCCAATCGATGTGCCCCAAGTTTACCCGCTTTCAGCTCTGTGCAGTGGGTTGGACCCCCTGCCAGCCTCAACTGCATTGCCGTCTTTGCAGAGGGCCATGGGTTTTGACGATGAGGCCAGTTGAAAGTCATGGCACCGCAACCCAGGAGGAATTCCTTATTGGACAGGCTTGGCGACTGGTGCTGACCGAGCTGCACTCCGCAGCTCACACGGTTGGGTCCCAGCTGCCTCGCTGGAAAAATACGACTGTCCTTGCGCAAACCTCGAGGCTGTGGTACCACAAGCTTTGCGTGAGAGGGTGCTATGCACCTCAGGGCAAGCTTCTCAACTTCTAGTCGTAGGAGTACCGACGCCACGAAGTGTGAACGAATGAAGTTTGATTTCAATATCAGCCAAAAAGAGTTGACCTGTTCGTCGGGGGTCTTTCACAGCACCCAGGCGCAGCTGTGCCGCGGAGTTCTTTGCGAGGCAACGGGAGAGCCCGAACCCTGGGTAGACATAGCCCGTCCTGCTGTCCGCCCCCCAGGCTTCAGTTGCTGCTGTATGCCAAGAAGGATCTGCCCCTTCGCGACCAGATCTTCCTTGACAAGCAGGCAGATGTCGAGCAGCCCTGTCGTCCGTTGTGTCAGCTTTTGACGCCGTATTCATCCGTGTTGTGTAGATGCTCCGGTGTTGATTTTAAGTCAGGGAGGCAGATTTCGCGGTGTTTACAACGGTTTTGGCACGGCATGGCAAAAAGGCCGTGCGGGGACGATTCTGTCGCTTGTTCACGGCTCCTGCTCATGGTCGTCTCGTGTCTCCCAAGAGCTGAACTTCCAGTCGTCGTCTTTAGGTCGATCTTCGCATCTGCGAGGTCTGTTCTGTTGGGTCTGTATTGAAATCGAGAACGTCCAGCTCAGGGGTTTAGGCGGCAAGCAGTAGCAGAGGCGTCCCTGCAGGGGGTGCAGGTGGAAGCAATGCACGGGTCAGCTCTGCAAGGCGTCGGATTCGTCGGTGTGAGCCATTGGCCGTGTCCCCTCCGCCAATCTCGCAAAAGCCACAACTACTCTCACCACCACAGCCACGGCCGCCACAATCGTCACAACCGCCACGGCCACCCCGCCACCCCCACCAAGACCACGATGGAGAACGAACATCGACAACGACTGTGACTGTGATTCGGGCTACGACGACCGTGAAGACGACAAGTATAGTCAGTATAGTGACATTCATCTTCTTGACGTTATTGAGTTTTTGTTCTAAGGCCTCAGTGATGGTTCTGTGCATCATGAAGACATGGAAACTAGACATTCGTCGTTATGACGAGGAGAGTGGCGACACTGATGACGGAGATGGAAGTCACGATGAGTGCATGCACGATGAATGACGCACAGACACGCGGGGTTGCGTCTGCCTGCAATCTCTTACTGGTTTCGGGAGGATCATCTCTTGTCACTGCAGATGTTGCAGAGCCGTGCTGCTGAGGGCCGGAAGCTGAAGCTTGGTTGGCTTTGTTTCGTGCTTCTCTGGCTCCAGTCGAGGTGAACTGAAGGAGTATGATTGGATGAAGATTGTCGTCGAGGCGGCCCCCTTTCAAAATTGGGTTTGCATCCAAAAATCTTTAGTTGTACGTGCAATGCGAGGATCTTGACCGACATGCTGAAGGCTGGGCTTAGTCTTTCTAGGATGTTTGGCCGGATTGAGCTGCACCGATGCGAGGAGCGGGTCGCTTATGTACGTGTTTTGGTGCCATGTCAACTCTCTTTTTGTTTGACAGCTACTGCAGGCTGTTTAAGTTCAGGGCAAATCAGTTCGAGGGGATCAGGCTTCTCGATTGAGGCATGCCCTGAATCTTCGCGGCGAAGGAGAGGGCATAGATGCTTTGCCATAGGTACGCAGAGGAGCCGTGAAGATGAACTCCGATCCATGATGCCAATGGACCACCCCTTGCAGGCCAGTGGAGCTGACATTCAAGCACTGCTTCATACATGACTCTGCATGTACATTCAGTCAATTGACGTTCACGGTCGAATGACGTCGATCGGTTTTTAGCCGGGACACAGGAGAGTGCATCTGAGCCATGCATCTGAAACTCTTCGGCTGCCACCCCATGAACTCACAGGCTGCGCCTGCTCTTCCTGTGTCCCCTTTCGCGTAGTGGTGCGCTACCCGCTTCACCTTCACAACTTCAGTCAGGCTGCTCGCGGAGCTATCCGCTGGTCCTGGGCGATTCCAACTCTATCACTCGGAGCACAATTGAAACGAATGCAATCCTCCAGATGCCACCATTGCTTGCAATCAGACACGGGGCAACACGACGGCCTTGAAGGTCGACATGTTGATATGTTGCATGCACATAACATGATTCGGCATGCATCCTGATTGCTGTATCCGTTAGCGCGTATCTCAGAGTGTGCCGTGCTTTGTTGCTGCACTCGGCACAATGGGTGGTCTTGTGAGACGGGGATAGGCCATTGATGCAGGCAATCTGTGTGACTTTTGGTTCCCTAGCCAGCGGATTCTGCAGACTCGGTGTTCGGTGCCTGAAGAAGCCCGGCAGGTGGACCGCATGCAGCTGGCCCACTTCATCTTGGAGGCCTGCTTTTGGCTCCCGAAGCGAACTGCGAAAGAGCAGAGTGGTAGAGTCTGGTACCCCAAGCCCCAAACCCTGAACCCTAAACCCTAAACCGTGAGAAGAGACTCAGAAGTTCCTGTTTCTTCTTCGAAGAGGTGAGGGAGGAGATCCTGTCTGGGGGCCTCATGGAGCGGTGCCTGGACCGGCTCTGGGTGGGTCTCCGCCTTCCTTTCTTTTAAAGGCAAAAGATCCCTGGTCCCTCTTGCAGACTCTAAAAAAAAAAGAGCCGGCACCGGAAAGGAGTGGGATCAGCCCTTCCTGCTGGCGAGCGCCTTCGCGGTGCTGCACTCATATGGATGCCGAAGCCGCTGCGCAGATGTGCTCCCTCAGCCAGACTTTCCGAAGGGTGCGTGCCAGTGGATGGATGTCTACTCCTACTCCGAGCCAGGGCCCTGAAACCGCCGAGGATTCCGAAGCCCGATGGGTCGCATGGGAGCTGCCGAGGCCGACGCCCTCGAACCCCAACATGGGCTTGCCAGAGCCCAAGTTTCTCCCACGAACGTGCTATTGGGTGATATGTGTGGTGCTCGGTGAGCGGGGCCTTAGCTTGGCTCCAACAGAAACTCCGTACTGCCGTACTGTTTTCGGGTCTCCATCAGAGGAAAACCGACCCCCCGCTTGCCACGTGCCGCTTGTGGTGTCCAGGCCTGGGCGTCATCGCTTTCCTGGTGGTACTCTGCACTACTGGGGTGATATGGAGTCGGAGGACAGATTCGGCGATCACCTCAGCACAGTCCCACTGTCTTGCGCTGCGTTTCTTTCGAGTGTCCCCTGCACGGTAGAGGTGTGGATCCTGAGTCCCATGACCTCATTCTCTGCCCGTTCATCTTCGAGCACGTCTCGCAGCCCTGGTTGGCTATCCGGACCCTGGCATTTGTCATCTTCAAGGGGTTATGGCTTCGAGCATGCATTGTGTCGAGGACGTTGGCCAAGACTCTGCGACCGGGTGGATTCATTGTGTGGGCTGCCGCTTGACCTAAGGAGGGTGCAATTTCAACTGAAGTCGCTGCGTGGCGTTTTTTTTTGAGGCTCCGATGTACCAGCGGTACCATGGGCATCTCACCCAGACGAAGGGCCGGGCCTTCCCAGCGGAGCGAAGGGCTGGGCCTGGGCCTCATGAGGTCCCCACACGACTACTACCGATACACACCCAAAGGGGTGACAGCACTCGCCAAGCATGCGGGCCTCGAGGCGCACTCGGTCTCTGTGAGTGTTTGGTTCCTGCCTCCTTAGCGAATATTGCACCGTTTCGCGGATCTGCAGGTCCAGCGTCTATTTTCACCAGGTGACCTTTCCTTGGTGAATGGAGCAGCTTCCTGAGTTGACCTTGCTTGTTTCGGAAGAGATGTCCCCTGCAGCACGGCTATAGGGCGACTGTCAGGTCTTGATGGGCATGCTCCTGCCTTACTGGAGACCGGAGCAGATTCTGCGCGAGGAGGAGCTCCAGGAGAAAGAAGATGCCCCCAGGTGGCCATGGAACTTCATGAAGCTCCAGAAGCACGTGTCGAATGCAGAGAGCTGCGCAGGTATCCTCTCAATGTGTTTGCTCTGCTGAGAAAGCCCGACTCTCAGAGAACCTTGTAATCATTGATCTCCATGTCTCTTCGAAGATCGCTCAGAGGGGCTGATGTGTCAGGCCTGGATCGCGCCCACCGCTGCGATAGCTCTCCACCGCCACGAGCTTCCCCATTGGCCCATCTTGTGGCACCAACAAGATCGTCTCGTTCTTCGAGTTCTGAAACCCAAGCGGCAGGAACTACGGGAGCTTCCTCGCTCAGCAGCACCGAGGGAAGACGAAGGCCGCAGGGGAGGACCAGAAGGATCCGGACGCCCGTGAAGAAGCGCTCTCATGGAGATCCACTCGGAGAGATCGCATGTCATAGCCGAACCGGGGTGACCCGAGACTCGACAAGAGCGGGAAAGAGCCGGTAGCAAAACAGTGGTGGGAAGTAGTTGTGCGTGCCCCTTCCTGCATGCTGCATGCACACCAAGAAGCGAAAGCCACAGATTGCAGGTACTCCAAGAAAAGGACTGCTTGTTCAGGACAGATGACTTTCGGTGTTTGTCAACGCACACTGGGCCGTGAAAGACTGTTCGGATTATGCTGTGCAGGAACTTGCTGCGGACCAGCCAAGCTTTTCGGCCACAACTGCAAGAAGCTGCGACCTTGGGATGTATCCCCCCCGTGTCAGCCTATGTCTCTCGAGTCTCGAGACTCGAGACCAGGTGGCAGCCAAGTGGCCGGACTTCTTGACAGGAATTCTGTAACTGCCTCATGCCACAAGCGTCTTCCAACTGCAACCGCAAGCCGCAAGCATGCCGAACTCAGGCCAAGGATGTCCACAGTGTTCCAGCTGACAGTGGTGAGGCTGTGGATGACTGCGTTTTGTACATGTTCTCATAGTGCCTGACCTACCTTGGATGTGTCGAGCTGGTGAGCGTTGCCGTTCTCAGCGCTTGCAGGCACAGGGCATCTGGCAGGATACTTGTGCTCGCCAACACGCCTCGGCCTTGCTGCTCTTCGCCGCCTTCGCCTGCAGAACCGCGCAGCCTCGGGTTAAATGCAAGGCATCTCTTCTACCACCCCAACGCCAGGCACGGCGGCACGGTTTTCCTGGCAGAGACTGCCATGCCACGGCTGCCACGGTGTAGTCTGCCTGAGGCACATACGCCTTTTGCAGATCATGTGCTTGCTGCATGAAGTGCCCTGCCTCGAATGTTTCATTTCGCTTTTCCTAAAGCCATAGCTGGTGCGAGGGTGTGACAGGATGGCGTGTGGGTGTGCAGCTTGACTGTGCAATGGTAGGATAGATCATGCAGGCTCTTGTTTTTCTTTTCTGTCTTGATGGTAAGCTTGCACAAGCAGCCGTCAACAGGTGTTTTTTTGCAAGCGGACCGGTAGACCTGTCGTCGGCACTTCTGCATGCACCGGACACGCAGTCATTGACAGGTACAGGAGTTGCGCAAACAGCACAAAGATGCCGAAGGCCGGACAGATTCCGAGTCAGAATAAGTCAGATTCTGATGTAGGGAGTGAGGGCAGCCTTCCTTTGTGGCTCTGAGGCCAACTTCCCCACATAATCTTCGCTGGTGACCTAAACTGCCTGCCAGAGACTGGAGCAGTTCCTGGCTCAGTGTTGCAGTCGGGGTTGTGGTTCAGGCTTTTCTGTATTGACACCGGGTATCAGGTGCAGCTGCTGCTCACTGGTCAGGCGCGCCAGCTTGGGGGTCCCGGGCATTTTGCACACTTGACACCATGCAAGTCGCACAGCACTAAGACCGACAGACATAGCAGATGTTTAGTAGGTTCGGGGTCCTGGATGTTGAGACATTCCGGGTTGTTGGCAGGCATCTTGTATGCTAGGGCGTCACCGTGGGTCTGGCGGTAGGCACTTGCGTACTGCAGAATTATTTTGGATGCGGGGCAGACTGCGAAAGCTGCACCGATGTATGCACGTGAGAGCTGTTTCAGCCTCTTGATCTTGAATATGCCATCCGAGTGATTCCATGGCACAGGTTCCCAGCGACCACGAGGATTGGGAAACCTCTTCCCAAGTGCGGAGCCAGTATCGAGAGTCGCGATACGGGCGCAGATGGAATCTCAGAGTTTTCGTGGGGCCTGTTCGTGTCGCCAAGTTCGCCTGGCGAGATGAAGAGGCCTCAGCTGACGCGGGAGAGGCCCGGTCCGGGCAGCATGTTGCCTGTGACGAAACTCCCGGGCACGAATCTGCGTTCGTTCTTTGAGCTCGGAGGCTGAAGAGATTCCGAAATCCTCGGTGCCCTCCATGGAGGTGCCATGCCCTGAATCCCCTTGGCCTCTTCAGCCTGTCCTCGAATGCAGGCCGATGACACCGATGTCGTCGAACCTCTGCCCAGGGAAGCTTGGCAGAAGGGCGGTGACCTCAGGAGTGAAGGGAGTGCAGCCAGTGCGCCAGGAATAGCACGCCGCCCAGACCCGCGCCATTTGTGTATCGCACCAACCCACCACGCAACAGTAACGTAACAAGAAGGAAGCACCGGGCGCGAATCAGGCGGAAGAGCTGTCGTCAGCGATTGAAAAAAGGGCAACTGATCCAGATGTCGCAAGTTGCCTCGCCAGGTTGCAACGAAAGACAACGTAGAACAACTCTCCAGGACCACCCCGCGACCCTTTCCCGAGATTACTCACCCCAAGCCAGGACCTTTCCAGCACCACTCCCAAGACCACTCCAAGACGAATCCAGCAACAAAAGGTGCACAACGCTCGCGATGTGCCCCCAAAATGCACACTGCACTCTGGCGACACAACGATGACTCCTGCAGGATAAAACACACAGGACCGCGGCAGGACATCGGCAGGAGGCCCAAAGTCCTAAAGTGTTGACTTCCAGGGACCATGAGATCCCACAAACTGCAAACCGGATTGAGGAGTCCTGTAGGTCATAGAGGCAGAACAGTGTAGCCCAACAGCCGAAGTTGCACGATGTCGACAAGAAGCTGCAGCCCTGTAGTCTCGCTTTTGGATGCGAGCGCACACGGTGGCAGACGGAACTCGAGATCGAAAAGCAGAGGAACGGATACACATATTATACATTCTGGATTGTAACCGGCAACTTCAGCAGCAAGTTGTACAACATATAGCAACTAGCAGAAGATGTCCGTGTCGTGATATTGAGGAAGTCTTGGCCCCGAAGAAGTCAAAGTACGAAAGTCTTTCAGGTTAGCTGGCTTGACCACGTCTTCTCTACCTTGTTTTGGCGAATGCCGAGGCTCTGGGATTGCTCTACAAAATCCACTGGGAGCGCTGGTGGATGTGTCCACAAGCTGCGTTGCGTTGTGATGTGTCGCATCGTGGCTGTGGCACGTGACCTACCAAGGTATGCTAATACCCCGCAGAAGTTCACCAACTATGTTCACGACTTCAGCGGCATTCTGGACTTCACATTCTAGCTCTATGCCGGGGATCAGCAGTTCGCGCATGTTTTTCTGCCCATCTGTTTTCATTCCGGCATCTCGTGCATGATGTGAAGGGTCGCTGCAATTCGTGTGGTTGTGGGCTGACAGCATTCCAGCTCCAGGACTACATTCTCACCGATGGCCAGCTACAAGCGACGAAGTGCCTGTCCAGGGCTTGGTGTGGCAATTCGAATGCTGGTTCCACATTGATACCGCTCCGACCAGGCTTGCGCCTGCTGAAAAGGACCGCAAACGCCGTACATGGCTTCGGCTCGGTCTTTGTTTGTCTCTGGCAGCAGGACGTGGAGGTCCACGGTGGGCTTCCCAGCGCACACATCTCAGTTGCTTCAAACGGTCGGTAGTACAGCATACATCACGAAACTGGTACGGGAAAACTAAAGAATGAAGGCGAAACCAAACGTGGAAGTCTGTCTAAGTACCAATACCTACATTGAGGCAGGTGTGTAACATGCATAGATGTACAGAACTGAATGTATTCTACATTTACAGGGTATAACATCCGGACACACCAAGGTACTTCACCCGAGCGATCACCTTTCCATAGCTGCGGACCTAACATTCAGGACCGGTCTGCGCATGCCCTGGATGCCTCCAGGCCTAAATCACCTGATGTTGCCAGGACCAGCTCATAGTCTCCGAGCGATCGCTGGGCCTCGTCTGAGAAATTGTTTTCGTAGGAGGAAGTTTCCGGGCCGAAAGAAGCTCGCACACGTGCGGTGTCAGCGGTGTGTCGTTGACCATCGTTGACCTGAACTCTCCGTTCACCGCTAGATAATGACACGCAATGACGTGCTCATTGCTTCTGAGCAGTCAAAACGTCTCCGTAACATCCGAGTTGCCAGGTTGAGCTCTCGTGCTCTTGAATGTTGAACCATAATGGGAGTTGGCAAGGTTTGTTCTTCTTCCTGTGACCAGCATACCCGGCAAAGCTTGAAGTGAGGAATTGTTGAAGCATGTGCTGCGTCAGCTGATGTTGCCCTGCGTACTCAAAATAGCGGTTGCAATCTGCTGCTATGTGCTTACACCGTGACATCGGTTTCAGAACGACATCAGCTGTCATTCTGTTACACATTCCTAGTGCATGAAGCCGTCCGTTCACGTCAGGCCGCATGCGGATAGCTCACTGGCAGAACACCACGAAGCCTGGAAGTGGATTATGTGCAGGGAAGTCCACCGCCGCTTGCTTTGCAGCATTGCGCTGTGCGGCCATGGTCATGTTACCGCGTCGACAGCCAGGGCATAGTTTGCTGGTCTTAGTGGCTGCGATTGCCGCTGGAGTCTCGTCTCTCAATGTTCAGCCGAAGCTGCGAGGCATTTATCGCATCCCAATGTGAAGTCTAGCTAGGACCGAGAAGTTGATATAAGAAGGTACCAGCATGTCGATATAGTATGAAAAATTGTTTTTTTTGCTCCTTCCTGCTCTAAGATTGCAGCGTCGACTCCGTAGTAAAGCAAAGCAGCAGGGAAGCAAGACAGGTATGAGATTTGTAAGCCTGTGCATTCTCAGGCAGTCTGTGCAGCTTTGTGTTACCTCACGCGGCGAGGAGTGGATTGAGACTTGCCTGGGCCTGACTTTCAAGCATGATCGTGTTGCAGCTTCACGATGGCATAAGGCTTCTTTTAGTTTTTGAAGCTACGATCTGGCTTTCCACCGGATTCGAACGTTGCGGAATAGGGCCTCAAGTTTCTCCCGAATGCCTTGAGAATGACAAATGATTTGCTCTCTATCGATAGGCCAGATAGGCGCGATGGTCGACTGAAGACTGCCCAGAAGGCTTGGAACGTTCTTTGCAAGCTGTGCCCCAGCCAGTGGCTGTGTTGTTTTGGGTATGTTGATGTACAGCAACAGCTTTATGTGAGGGTACCATGGGTTTCTTAGTTTTGAATCGTGCTTGTTTTTCACACAGCTGTCAGGGTAGCTTGGATTTCTAAACCCAGGATTTCTTAATTTGAAAGGGCTCCCAAACTAGCCAAAGCCAATGTACGGCGCATGAAAGACAGTTGCGGGAATTGAACCTCGGGGGCTTTTTGCACCCTTGTTGGGCACGCCCACGACCCCGAGAAATTCAGCCCCGCGATTTTCTTAAATCAACAAAATCCAGCCCTTGGATTTCATGAATTTTCATGCTTCGCTCCTGAAGCACCAATCCAGCCCCACAGGAAGCGAAGAAAACAAGCGAAGGATAATCGGAAGAGCAAAATCAGAAAGTAGCACGCAGAGGTCAGCATAGCCTAGATTTCGTAGTTTCAGGTTGCCCATGTTTTCGTTTTTTCGCACGGCTGCCCGAGAGACTCAAACTTCTTAAACCAAACAAGGTTTTTTAGCAGTGCTGCGCATCGGCAACGCCAGTAGAAACATAGCAGCAGCCATAGACGCCTCATGGACTTAAACTTGGCCCGAGGTCCACCCATCCAGACGCGTTGTGTCGAAACACACGCGCCAAGCGACCACAGAAGTCTCTCCGCCGAACTCAGCTCCTTGGATTCTACTTATGGCAAAGTTCAACACCGGCTTTTACAACACACCTATGCGAAACTAGGAGCAGCGGCAGCAGCAGCAGCAGCAGTGTTGCAGCAGTAGTAGTAGTAGTAGTAGAAGAAGTAGTAGAAGTAGAAGTAGAAGTAGAAGTAGAGGTAGAGGTAGAGGTAGAGGTAGAGGTAGAGGTAGAGGTAGAGGTAGAGGTAGAGGTAGAAGTACAAGTACAAGTAGAAGTAGAAGTAGAAGCAGAAGTAGTAGTAGTAGTAGTAGTAGTAGTAGTAGTAGTAGTAGTGGTAGTAGTAGTAGTAGCAGCAGCAGCAGCAGCAGCAGCAGTAGCAGCAGCAGCAGCATTC